TATTGTGCTGTGCAAGTGCCATTACAACAGACGGGTAGACTATTGCTCCTTAAAAAGAACTTAAAGGTACTTAAAAACAGATAATAAAATTCTGAGGAAACTCATCTCTTCAGGGAGACCTGTTCAATATACTTTTTATTCAGCGTGATAACTGGAAGGTGGCGGGGGTGTGCAGGCGTGTTTGGGTTGTCTCCAACAAGGTGACTTGTGGTGGTCGCTTTGCAACTCTTGGGTCTGGTTCTAGTCCTAGACTGTGAAAGAGCTGATATTTTCCCTATTCCAAACCAGAAATGATGGTGAAATTAAGCCGAGGTGTTCTTTATAGAGGAGATTTTTGTTAATTATTTTGAGATCCTTAAAACTTAAATGATCTGTAAATAATACAACAAGTCTTCAATGAATATGTTATGAACCAACCATTAACAACAGTAAGAAAAAATACTGTTCAGATAACATTGCCACTGTAGTATAAATGCTATGGGGGCGAAAACCCCACATTCAGCTAACCTGGAATAAATTCTGCAGTCAAAGTGCAATGAATATGAAAGGAAATTAGCAAAACCAATTTTCTAAAAAATAGAAGGAAAAATATGCAATTTAAAAAAAAAATGGTTTTAAATTATATGCATGTTGTGTTCAGAAATAAAGTTTAAAAAATGTTAATCATTCCAGACCCTAACAAAGGGAAAGAAATTATTTATTGCAATATGTAGAGCTCAGTCAGGATCCCCCTTGTGTTTTGTAATAAGAAAGCCAAATTGCCTGAGCACTGCACACTTCATTTAGCTTTTCTGCAATTAAAAAATAATTGAAAAGCGCTTTTATTGCAGCAAGGCCGAGAGACTGCAAGTGCTTTGAATGCAAAGCATTTATGTGGTAAGGTAAAGAATCTGTCAAGAGTACAAAGATCATCCTGGAAAATCTGTTATTATTTACATAATTCAGTCTACAGGCCAACAAACTACTGGAAAACATATAATATAGGAAAAATTATAAACCAGTATTTTTAATTTCAGTTTCCTGAAATGGAAGGCATCTGAAACTGTGCTGTCTTGTTTTTCAGCTTATTATGACACTTAGCCACATCCCTAATAAAGGACCCATTCCTGAAAGCAGCACAGCTAATTACGTTTTATTGTTTAAGGGTGCAACTGGGATTAAGGGCGCTCTCGCAAGATGATGGGTCCGTGTTAGTTTGCCCTATGAACCTATGCAAATGGATCTATGTTCATGTTGAAGCTGCATAAATGTTAAAATTCGCTGTATATGTGGTCTAGCAAAAAACTGTTGCTTAATTTTGCCAAATTCCAAACCCTGGAGAAAGGAATACTAAAATGAGACCCTTTCACTGGTGTTTTTAATGTCCAGAGATTTGCAAATATATTCCTGGGGTGGTTTTTGTGGTATTTTTTAGTTCAGGGTGAAGCTTGGTTATTCAATGTATGTTTTTATTTTCTGTTGTGTCCTATGGCTAGAACATTTTTCCCTTCCACCACCCCTGTCCCAAAATACTTTTACTTAAAAATTCAGTTGTGTTTTAATATTGGAGAGAGCACCCTAAAAACATTATGTTCGTATCCTTTAGGAACTTTGCCCTTCAGTGACAGTAGGTATTTCCTCAAATATTTGTACACTGTATTGTATTTGGCATACGTTTGTGAACTCTGTTCGCAGTTGAATATCTTCGATGAACGAAGAAGAGGTATGTCCTTTGAGTAGTGTTTTATAAAAGGCTGATAAACATGCAGTCAGAATTAAGATTTCAGTACTTCTTTTGTCATATTTAATACAACTGAGATGTTAAAACATATGTTACTTTCCTGAACTATTTTGGAGTGCTTTGATCAGAAAGAATCTGATATGCTACACTATGAAGAACATGGTTGTACCAGCTTTTGAAGATTTCTTTTTTTTTTCTTAAAGCACTTTGCTGATTTTTTTTAAATTCTTTTGTAAGATAACTAAGCAAATTTCTCTGTCATGAAAATTGAACTTTTTTTTTTGAAACCACAGACAAGCATAGTCAAATATTCCCAAATATTTGATTAGTCAAACAATTCCTAAACTAATATTGATTTAAATTAATTAGAATATTGAAATACATTCAACACCCTTTCTTAGGGCAGCACAGTATCTATTGGACTTCTGTGTGTTAGTATGAAACATTCGTAATTTTCCTTAAATTTACCGATTTAGAAGAGGAGGCGTAAATAGAATTTATGGTTTCAAGCTTGACCTTTCTCTCCTGCAACATAATCTGAAAGTACCTTTTAATCAAAGTAATGTCTATTTTTTCAAGAAAAAAAATAGCAGTTGTTCCCTGTTTCTGGTGTCAGTTACGTATTTAAGGAAGAAATTAAAAACTGGTTAAAGACATAGTGAAATCAGTTACTTCTTTCTGTCATTTTAGAACTGGTTACGTTAACTGAGTCATTTCTTTGAGAAAGCTCAAAGCTGAGTGAAAAAGCTTGGTTTTGTTAAAGATGTGCCTTCTTCAGTCATACTGAACTGGCTGTTGACTATAGCTGTGCGGAACTGCAACTGGGAATGAGATGTGAGCACCAGTACTGAAGTTCACTCTAAACTGGATAAAATCTTAAAAGTAAGCGTGCGAGCAGTTCTCCGTAGCTGAGCTGCACATACTGATCTCCTCTGAAAGTGTTTGTGATTATCGATGTCCGTAAAGTTACATCCCTTTAACTAGATAAAGCTATCTAGTTAAACCTATGTGTAACTTAAGCTGCATTAACCCTTGCTTGCATTGGTTGTGCTGAAGTCAGGCTCTAGTCCCAAGTTTCCTCCCTAGGCATTTAAGGTTAGTGTCAGATGCTTTAGTAGTACAGCTGGAAAAAATAACAAAAAAGGCAGGTATGGAGAAAATTTCATCCTAGAGCGTCTATTAATTCTGTAATGTTCTCATGGTATAGCAAGTGTCATCTTCATTTTGTCCAATTAGCCTATGACAGTGCACATGCAGGTCTTTAACAGTAAGGTGGTCTGTAGGTCTCACAAGTCCCTGAATGAACTCACGCTGGCTGGATAAGTGCAGAGGACTTTTCCTTCATACAGCTGAGACTCAAAAGAAATAAAGTATATTAAGAACAGGTCTCATCTAGCACTAGAAGACAGGCAGACGTGAATGTGTGTGCATGTCTGTGTGTGAGTCCTTGAAGTTGGCTGCTCTTTCGTGATATGGCAGATTCTCTTTTCCTGGTGAAGTAACACAAGAGAAATAGGATTCCTAAAGGTTTGGTGGTGGTATGCTGAAATACTGAATTAAACATCATTCTCGCAGCTGCAAAGATTTGGTTGCAGCTGCCAGAAGCTGTGGAGCAGAAGACCCATTCTTATGGGTAGCACCACTATTTGTGTATTCATTTGTAGCAGTCTCCTTATATATCTGCAGTAGAATTTCTGTATCATTGGTTTTGCCTGGAGGGCTGGTCTGATATATTTCAATTGTCTAAAATTCATGTCGGCTGTCAGTGAAAATTTTTCAGTACCTCTTAAGTGCAAGTTTTTTGAATAGTGTTTGGTTGGGACCCTCCACTTCAGAAGATCATTCTTTGCTTTTTTAGAAACATTTTTTTACCCTGGTCAAAAAATGTTCTGTTGTAGGAAAATTTGAGAGCATAATAAATCCTGAGATATGTCAGACATCCTTCATTTAACCTTCATGACACTCATTGTGTTCAAGAATAATCTTCTTTTGTATGTGCTTGTCCAGTGCCTGTGTGAATAAGCCTATAAAAAAATTGGAGTTTTCCTGTGCTACATCAACCCATAGATTTGACATATGTAAATTACCACCTATAAGAATATGTGTTCATGATTTCCCTGTAGAAAGAAATGAAGCAAGACACTGCCTTTAATTATAGTTGCAATTTCTTTTTCACTCTATTAAATCCTGTAGCTGTGGTCTTCTGTTAATTATGTCCTTTCTTCCATCTCACTCACTTTAATTTTAGACCTATCAAACTGTTGGTTAATTTAGTCAATTTTTGAATTCATTACCTCTAACTTGTGTACTGTCATACACTGTATTTTTTTTCTAATCCAAATGAGTTTGTTGTTTTTTTTTCTGGAGCTGGAACAAGAAACACTCATTAGTGGTAGCAACATTCCTTAGACACTGTATTCAACTTACATTTGTTCGGATGTTTTTCTTGATATGGATGTTGGACTTTTGAGTTTATTTGCTAGTGAATTTTTGCAGTCTCGAATTCTCCAATAGTAATTCTGGTAAGTAGCAAGGCAAAAATAACTTTGGACACAAGGAATCCCTAGAAAATTGAAAAAAAAACCCAAACCCTTTTCATTCTTTCCTGGGAGTTGGTCAATAGGTGTGTGTTGTCTAGTGCTGCATTTTTAGCATTACAGCATTTCAGAAAGCTGTGCGCGCATAGATTTCTCTTCTGGCAGTGCACAGCCATGCACTCATTAAAATGGAAATAGAGATTGTTTCTGTGAGATTGTTTCTACTCTGAGCATGTGAGGGCCCCAGAGAGCGGGATTAGCTGAGGAGAGGTTGGAGACGACAAGTAGCTGAACTGGGGGATCAGCAGCAGGAGAGAGCGCCCTTCTGCAGGTGCACTGGTTTGAGCTGAAGGGGTTGCTGTGATCATCTGCTCCTGTTCCTCACTCTCTTCGAGAAGTTCTTTCCCCTTCAGGTCTGCTAGGTGAGCCTTTTTAACCTGTTATTTAACCGCCCTCTTCACAGCCAGTGTAATAGCATTTTGTAAGCCCTTCTCATTTAACTCAAGTCAAGGAGTGATCACCCGTGCAGGTAAGTCAATAAATCCAAAGGGGGTTGGTGACAAGCAGTTCCCCATGGTCTGGGTGAAATGTGTTCTAGTAGGCACAGCGGGAACCAGCAGATGTATTGGAGGAGTAATAGTCTAGTGTCTTACCACTGTTTAGTAGCAACTTATGACTCTGGCTGTATCTGTGTGTGAAAACTACAATATCAGTGTTCTGAATATACCAGTGTTTGTTCAATAATGGAAAATCAGTTGAAACATCTGGACAATTTACCAGTATGGAAGAACAATGCAACACCAAAATACATTTACTGTCTTCTTGAAAGGAAGAAAAAGGTAGGTGAGGAGGATAAAGCATCTCTGAAAAGAATGAAACGATAGAAGAAATTAATTTATTTTTTTTCCTTCAAAAAAATACCCACCCCACCCCAAATACCCAGTAGACGAGCCAAGATCATTTAACCTAGTACAAGATACTGGTGCAATTCTTGACTCCTGGAACGGTAGTTTGGTTTTGGGTGTTTTTCACATCTGTAGGGCGCAAAATGATAACCAAGTACATCCTTGCATAGTTTAGCATCTGTGTTAATCTGAGGCCTGCAAAAATCAATAATGTATCTTCACATTTTATAACGAAAGTCTGTGTGTCAACTGTAGCGTCAAGGGAGGAGAAGCAGTTTTTCTGCATGGATTAAAAACTGTTGAAAATGAAAATTACATTAAGGAAAGACTAATAAGAATTGAATAGCTAGTTTGGATTCCTGCAGTTGTGCTAAGATTAGAGGAACATTTCATAAAGTCTTGCTTTTTTTTTTTTTTTCCTAATTCTTATTATTTTGTGACTTTCAGAAATCCTGTCAGAAACCTGTGGACAAATACATTGAGTATGATCCTGTTATCATCTTGATTAATGCTATTTTATGTAAAGCACAAGCATACAGGCACATTCTTTTCAATACGAAGATAAATGTAAGTTGCAATGCACCTACGCTGTGACTTTTTTTGGTTAAAGATATATTTAGATTTGGTAAGTTGATTGTAATAGTTGTAAAACTTTAGAGACTGTTCTTCTCCTGCCCTTCCACGGGTTCCAGCAAGCTGAACTAGTTATATCATGAATAGAACACACAAAATCTCAAACTCAAGGTATTACAAAGAAAGTTACTGTCTCCACAATAGCGATGCCACAATACCAGCAAATGTAGCGGTCATCTTACATGTTAAAAGAGAGGAGAAGAAACTGTATGGAACTGTTCTTGCAGTTTTCAACACCCTCTAATTTGCCTATCATGTTAATTGATGTTAAAAGGATGATGTGCTAAATTACAGCAGAAGAGAAAGATCTAATTTCAAATTAATTTTCAATTCTATTTCTGTTGGAAACAATTCCTTCTGAAAGGAGCTATAGTGGTATACCATATTAACAATACTGTGCCAATTAAACCTACTGTACTAATTTCTCATGAGTTTCTTCCTGAGTAATTAACTGTGCCCTCAAAACTGTAGCAAAAGATAGTAGCTTTCACATGAAGCATTGCTGAGGCAGAGTTACGTAGTCAGTTTAGTTGTGCTGGCCAGGCTGGAGTGTAGAGGTGCAGCTTTTCTGACAGAATTGCGTATTTTTACTTTGAGGATTGATTTCCCAGGAGAGGGAAGCTAATCTAGAGCAAACTATCCAAGCATAAGTACATGCTGTGTTCATGTTGATACCTTTTGGCCAGTCCAGTGTTAAGCAATGTAGGTAACTACACTTGCCTTGTCTTTCAGGCACAAATCTGACTACCAATTTTTAATTAATTCAATGCTTCTGGAGACTGGTAATGATGTTTTCCATGAGGCTTCCGGAAGAACTATTCCATCTGTGGAACTTTCATTCATTCAAGTAAATTGAGTTGAATTTTAAACTGGCTTAGCCTGTGCATGTATGCGCAACTGGCATAACTAGTCTCTAATGGAAAAAGCAGAATCCACACACGGAAATTGCATTCGTTTATTTACCTCTGTATAAAACCAGAATTCACCCCACTGGCATGTTTAATGTGGAAACATGCTAACTATGGGCCCTCACAAGATCATTTTTGCAGTCACTTCAGAGGATATTTTAAAGTTTTGTTTGGTTATATTGCTCCATTTATTTTTGATACCTCACCCTTATCTGAACTAAGAAATGTTTTTGGTGTAACTATACGACCAGGTTCTTCTAACGGAGATTGTCCCACGGAAAAAGAGAAACAAAGCTATTTAAACCAGTTCACTGAATGGAGTAGTTGCCCTTAAACTGAAATATTTGATGTAATTGTACTAGCTATGGCACAATTTTGTCTTTATATTCCTAACTGAAATAGCCTTCCCAATTTTAAAAAAGTATAGAGCAGGCTTTAGAAACCACAGTTATGTACCTCCTTCTGTATGGAAGTGTTCATGCAGTTTTCTACACCCTCTAATTTGCTTGTCATGTTAATTGATGTTAAAAGGGTGATGTGCTAGACTGGTGGCTCAACAGAAGTAATTTGCTTATATTTCTAAACAAAATTTTGTGTAGAGATGTTGAAATGTATTTTAAATACCAATTTCATCCTAATGCTTTAGTTTATGCTGATTTAGTACTAATGCTTTTATTGTTCTTTCATTTACCAGATTCATGGGAAGCTCTGCATATTTTGTTTGCTCTGTGAAGCATATCTCAGGTGGTTGCAACTACAGGATTCAAGCCAAAATATAGATCCTGATGACTTAATCAGATATGCCAAGGAATGGGATTTTTATAGAATGTTTGGTATAGCTTCTTTAGGTAAGATTGATGATTAGTTCATGTCACTATCTACTTTTGCAGCATTGAATAACTTCGAGTCTTTCAAAAAGCCCGTATTGCACAAATTAATACACAGTGGATGCCCTGTCCCAACCCAGTATGGTTAAATGATTATACACATACTCTCTAATTTGTCTTCATTTAATACAAATGCATATTTTGATCCTGATTACAGTTCACACTGTTATGATCAGCATTAGATGTCAAAACACTGGAAAGTGGCAATATTTAGAAATCATCGCCTGAATTCATTTACATAGCTTGAAGGCCAATGTAGAGCTCAGCCTTATTCCGTATTTCATGTTGACTTCAAGGTTTATTATTCATTAAGGTGATAAAACATTAAGGATTATCCTTACAGAAGTAAACAATAATTGGGAAAAGTTGTGTCTGGTTTGGATTTGGTGTTGTTTTTTTAATGAATACAGAAAAATACAGAGCAGTGTCATCACTGGTAAAGAGTAAATACTTCTGTGCTCTAAGACTACATTTGAAGGCAGGAGAGGGTTTTTGTTTTATTTTGGTTAATACTTTTATTCTCATACTTTTTCTGGTGATAGTGTTTAAATCAAGCCTGCAGACTAAAACTAGTATTTCCCTTAGACAGTTAAGAGTATAACTTAAGTCATGTATTGTCTAATGTTGCTCTAAGTAGGCTTTCGTAACAACATGTCAGTAAAAATGAGGGAACTCATTTTTCAGCAGTAATTCATCTATTACAGTTGTCATGAGAGTTGCTTTGACATCTGCATTAATTCCAGTGTTACACAGGGGCATGGTGTCAAAAAACGTCTAATAGCGCAATGATATTTTCACCCTAGTGTTCTTTCTCATGCTGGATGGAAAGGGTTCATTGCTGTGACCTTTTCAAAGAACACAAGTATTGATTTCGTTTTAGAGGCTAACAGACAGTTGAAAATAACTCTCCTTTTGTTAAAAAGAAAAACTAAAGAGGTTCTTATGCTAAACTTCCTGTGCTGTATGGTGTCAGAAATTACGACTGTGACAATCCTACAGATAGAATTCTGTGATACAGTTATTCTGAATGTCATGATGCTGAATTAGTTTAAGTAAGTAATAGTAATATTTGCCTATTAAAATGAATGCAGGAGATGGAGGACTTGTTCGTATTTGCATATGTCTTTTAAATAGCAATGGCTCAGTTGCATTTGGGATGTGTCATTTCACTGAAATTCATCCAAAAAAGGACTTGATTTTGGTGCTTCATTCTCTCTTTCCAACTCCTCTTATTTCTCTTAGAACAAACTTCGTTTTTGGTTGGCATTTTTATTACCTTATGGTGGATGAGACCCGAGATGCTGAAAACAAAGTCTGACTTCATTTTACTTCTCAAAGCACTGCTGTTATCCAGCTATGGAAAGCTTTTGCTAATTCCAGCTGTTATTTGGGAACATGACTACACGCCTTTGTGCCTTGCGTTTATAAAAGTGTTTGTCTTGATATCAAACTCTCAGGCAATTAGAGGTACGTTTTTGCCTTTTTATTACTACATTATGTGTATAGAATGTGTGTGAGATAATGCAGCTGTTACAGAAGTCATTATTATTGCTGTTATATTTTTTAATTGGTATCAGATACGTGACTGAATAGCTCTAGCTTAAAACCGTGTTATTTAGACTTTAATACAAAGTAAATGAAACAAAACATTTTATTAAAAAAAAAAAGCACCTCTCATGTCACCATCATCTCTTTGAATATGCTGTATTATATTCATCAGATCTTGAACATAGGAAGTTCCATCTTAACGTGAGGAGGAACTTCTTTCCTTTGAGGGTAGTGGAGCACTGGAACAGGCTGCCCAGAGAGGTGGTGGAGTCTCCCACTCTGGAGACATTCAAAACCCGCCTGGACACCGTCCTCTGCAACCTGTTGTAGGTGACCCTGCTCTGGCGGGGGGGTTGGACTAGATGATCTCCAGAGGTCCCTTCCAACCCTGACCATTCTGTGATCTGTCAGTTAGAATTTGAGACAACACATCATGGATCATTGAAACATAGAAAAACATAGAAATAGAATTCTTTGGGTGTCTAGAAAATGAAAATTTCATGTTAATTTTATGCATAGCTTTGAAATGCAGACTTTTAACAGATTTATGTGATTTCTTATATGTACAAATTAATATGAATTCTCACGTGGTTTCTATGATCTTCTCAAATGGTAAATGATAAATTTGTTCTGTTTTCTTTTGCAGTTACACTGAACTTGAACCGAACACTCCCTTGGTTGGCCATCTTCTTTGGATTAATTTTGGAAAATGGTGTGGTCTGCTTTTTCCAGAAAATGGGGTGGGATGTTTGAAATGTCAACCCAGATCTGAAGAAATACCAACAACATTATGATCATTTTCTTAAGAATGATCTCTGCCAGCAGGCTCCAAAGACAGTTTTCACAGTGATAAAGAAGGTGATAGGTAACAAAAAACTTGCATTAGTGTTGAGTGTAGACAGTTTTAGGATGAGTTAAAATGAGAAACTTTAGAAGGTTGGCTGTTTAATGTGGTGAGCCACAAAACTTCAGCCTTAGCTTGTTTATTTTCCCATTAAAAAACAGGAATGTGTCACTGTCCTGCTGCATAGCTATGACTGTAACAAAAAAGGTACACTAAAAAAAAATTCAGGACTGCTACCAATCACTGCATTTTTGCAGAAAGAGGAGGATGAATTGTTCCCTTAAGAGGAAGGAAGAGAGTCAGTGGAAAAATATAAAAGCCAAAATTGGTATTTTCGCAAAAACAGATTTTCAAAGAGAGAAGTGAACATGTGCAAGCATTTTACTAGAGAAGAGTCAAGTATTGCAGAGTCAAACTACAGTGGGAAAACTAAGTTGCATTCTCTGGAATGTTTATCTAACAATCCAAAGATAATAAAATATCTAGTTCTAGAGTAGTCTCTAGGAACTATAGTTTTATCTGGCTTGAAATTTTATGTGATCTCATAAATGCTGCTGCTTTGTTCTCAAAGCTGAAAAGAGACTGAATGGACCCTGATCCCCAGCATACAAGGTTGTATGGGGTACTGCTGCTTCTGCATTTAATATTAAGCCACATCCCCCACACCCAGCCTTCATCTAGCAGCAGGTTTAGTGGAAGCAAAAAGTGAAGTATGAGGCTGCTCCACAATAGAGTAGTACTTGTTAGGGGGAAAAACAAACAAACAAACAAAAAAAAACCCAAAACAAAAACTGTTTTGGCCTAAATTAGTGAAGAAATATTTGTAGAAGTTCTGCACCTTTTTCCCCAGTGGGCAAAGAGAGGGCTAGATGGCCCACAAAGGAACTAGCAGAATCAGTTTCCACAAGACAGTAATTAGGACATGAACCTACTTCTTTTGTGCAGACCAATTTCCATTACGTTCCATCCAATGTTTAATTCTCCTGCTTCAGTTCTGGAAGGCTGTACTATCTGTGCGTACTACTTCCATTCTTCATTTTCCTCAGATGCAGTCTCTTATCTGCATTTTGCAAAATGCATCAAATAACGTTTTGCAATATCTTCAAGTTAATTACAAACAGGTTCAGAGTAAGTCTAGGTTATCGCACAGAAGATGTGTCTGATGCAAATGCCCATGCCACAGTAAGTTATTTGGTCAGGAAAGCAAATGTTTGCTGATCCTGTTTTAATAGGTCAGAGGCTGACACCACTCATGTGCCATTTGTGTTAAATTTGACACCTTTCTGAGCATGTCATGATATGGCTAGAGAAGGCAAAAAAAATCCAAATTGCAGTGTCTTTTAAGTACATGAGACAGTTTAACACTGCAACTGCCCCAGCGAGCACATAGTTGTGAAGGTATGTGAGGGATCCACCTTGCTACTGGTGTGAATTAGTGGCCAGACAATTGAGTGTAGGTGTGCAGTTGCTCACTGGTTGAGCAGCAGCTTTGGCAACACGGTACCTCGAACATGCTTCGCTTTATGTAATTAGATCTGGGGAGATACTCCGCCCCCAAAAGCTTTTTTAAAAACAGTATGTTGCCAGAGGTGCTTTGAGTAGTGCTCATCTTCCTCCCACAATGCCAGCACAGAGTATTGCAACAGGGGCTGCAGGTTGAGAGGGTGCAAAGAGGAAGAGCAGTAGATCTTTTAGAAAAGCTTCAGAGATGCTGGTCTGGCCCGCTGTCGTTTTCCTGCGTCACCTTCTGCCTTGAGTTTAAGAGGGAATGAAGTTGTGCTGCAGCAGAGAGGGTGACAGAAGAATATGCACCAGGAAAATGCTGGTGCTTGCTGAGCCAAAGCAGGTTTGTTATTGTAGTTGTCATCTGGCTTTTACCCAGCTCTCCGTTCATCGTAGTACGACCTCAGCATTGCAGCCAATAAAGTTTCTCACCACTCCGTATGTCCCTCTTCAGGAAATGTACATTCTTTCTACCGACAATTTTGTTTTTCCAATGATGCAACAACAGTGCTTTGGTTTGTTCCTCTTAGGTTAGATTTTTTTTTTTAAATTTAATTAATGTGATGTGTCATGGTTATTCACAAAAAACTTTTTCAGAAATTTCTCCTGTGTCTGCTCTGGCACTGGTTTCAGTCTAAAGACTGAGTGGAGCACATTTGAGTGTGACTAATGCTAGGGGAAGATTTTGCATTACGTGTAATGTAAATATTACCTAGTCAGCAGCAAAATTGTAAATACAATGTATATAAATTTTGTTTGGGAACAGTTTTTATAAATTAAAGTTTATTTTGAATTAAAAAAAAAATGATTGTAGGAATTTTCTGAGTTTTATTCAGAAGGCCTAGAATGGACATGAACACATTCCGAAAGTAGAACTGCTTGTCTATTGTGTCACATATGCCAATAACGTATCAGTAATGCTATCAGGAGCCACCACTCTCTTTATGCAACTTTGAGGATGGAGAAGAAAAGTAAGAGATACAGAGCTGTGGAATGAAAGCAGGTGGTGTACAGGTTTTCGGTCCTCCAAGGCATTATTATTGTTTAGTAATGTAGGACATTCTGCCTTGTCTGGTTTTATGGCTGTTCATTTACCAGAACGAACATGACAAATACACTAATATTTCATAAATCGGAGGGAACTTTAGGACAGCCTTAGTGTGTGGATCTGTGTGCATTTTTGATGCAGTGCTTGAGAGAACCGAGGCTATTTTAAGGTCCTGCCTATTTAAAACAGTCATCTCTCTTGCTTTTATTCCTTTTTGTCTTTTGAACTCCTCTTCTTTCATGAACTCCTTGTAATGAAATAGTCAACTGTGTTGGAAGATGTATGACAAATAGCCTGCCCTTTCTATGTATCTTCAGTTGCTTCCTTAACTTACAGGAAAGGATTTACTTGGGTTAAAAATGTAACAGCCTGCAAATGAACCTATGTAAACTCTTCGAGTTTTGCTTGGAATCAGAAGGGTTATTGTGGCCTGTGGGAAATTTGTGGGCCTATGGAGCAAATCTGTCGGATGAAATGCACAGTAGAACCAGTGATGTTATTTAGACTTGGGTTGAGCAACTGTTTAGAGATTGCACAGTGGGAGCTGGGAACTTTAACCAGATCCATAGGAGACAAGTATTTAGAAATTACTCAATATAAAAATGGAGAATTAGAGGATAAGCTAGGACAGTATTAAAAGCACGTAGGTGTCAGGCAGACTTCTACAAAATTAAGAGTTGAGAAGACTATAAAAACTAAGGGGATAGAATCTAAAGAAAAGTTATTATGTAAGAAGAGATCCAGTATAGGTGAGTACGAGTGTATGATTAAGCAAATATACAAATATCCTAATCCTAAATTTTCAAAGGATGAACATGAAGGAAGAATATTATTTATTGTAGACATTTTTGTAGTAGTCTAAGTGATAATATGAAATGGCAAAGGATATCTTCCAAAGAGTAAAGTCTGGGTTTCCTCAGAGAAGTTATTCATTACTTCAATGGTTTGCACTCCATCCTTGAAAATACACTTTTATGAGAAGAATTGCCAGTTGTACAGAGATAGTTTTAATCACTGTGAACAGGAAGAGCTGTGCAACAGCAGAGCTTCTCCCTTCGTTCTGCAGTAGTGTGTGTTGCATTAGGTTGTGCTGGTGGAAGCAGGGGCTACTACCCTCCTGACCTTGCGCAAGTACAGACAAGAGAGTCCTTTCTTCTGCGGCAAGTCGTATCGCAGGCATATAAACTGCCATTTGTTAGCCCAGTCTTCACCGAACTGAAAGTAAAATAGGACATCTGCACTGGAAAACTTACCAGCTGATTTCTCATAAAACAAGAAAGCCATTGTTTTCCAGGAGCTTACATGCTTTCGCAGTCAATCAGCTCTCCCCCAGTTGGGTAGTGTTAAGCACCACAGTGCCATCTGGAGTTGAAAAGTAAAGTGCTATTGTTTCCCAAACTGGAAGGGACATAAAAGCACGTAAGTACGTATTCTTTGACTAATTTTTGTTTTGTAAAATCACAAATTCAAGCTTTTAAAATTAACAATAATTTTCAGTTCGGAGAAGTGTTACAGTGAAGTCAGTGATGAAAAGCAGGTCATAAAATACTTGTTTTGGTGACTTGGTGTCAAGGTCATTTCAATATATACACCATGAAAGCTGTAAAATGCAAATTGTTTTAGCACAGCGCCTCTTTGTTTAAGACATAAACAGTCCTGCAAGATGGGATTATTCTGAGTAACCTCGCTGAGCTCGGAGAAAATCCATGTTGCAAAAGACATAGAGAATGCATTCCTCCGCTGATAAACATCAATAGGAATTTTGTTGCTGAATTAATTTGAAACCCAGGCTGCTGCAGTTAGACTTTGCAGGAAGGTGCATATAACAAGATTCCCGTTTTCTCTCCTGCCTGTTATAATGCTGTTCTGACCTTCTTAGTCTTTCCAGTAATGCTTACTATATTACTGAGGTGGCTAGAAAGAAGATCTGAACATGAGGAGCTTTGTAAGATCTTTTTCCTAAACATGATCTGCTGTCCTAAATTTGTAAAGCTCTTTTGAGCCCTGTATAAATAAATGGCAGGTCTGCAAGGCAGCTAGGAAGTACTGCCAATGATGTTTTAATTGCTGTTCATTAGGATAACAGATACTGTTTGGGTTTGCTTGGGTTTTTTTCCTGTGTAAAAATGTGGTTTAAATTCCTTTACACAGTAGTGTAAGAGTGTGAACTCGTACAGTTCGTACATGTGCTGACTGCTGCAGAAATAAATCCAGATGACCCCCATCGTTTCTTAAAATCTGTAACTGTGAGTACATTTTTAGTCAAAAGAACTATTGTCCATAAGCTGCACAGAAGTGCCGGCCATAGCTATCTGAGCAGGGGAGTGGGGACCTGAATCAAGACCTGAATCCTAATCCTGGCTATAAGACCGACTACTGCTGCAACCTTGAGCAAGTCATATACATGGCTCCATAAAATGATTGTGCCTCCGCCATCCCAGGATTTCAGAGAGGATTAATTTGTTCATGT